CTGCACAAGGCTACATAGAAGCCACTCAAGTACAGCTTAGATGCCATCTCTTCTAACAAACAGAACCTACCTACACAAGGCTGCACAGAACCCATTCAAGTACAGCTTAGGTGCCATCTCTTCTAGGAGGCCTTTCCTAATCTTCCTATTAGAGGTGACCTTTCCTTTATGGCCTCTCACTGTATCACGTACTCTTTTCTAGCAGTTACCACATTGCCTGACATTTACTGTTCACATGTTGGTCCTCTCTACCAGTGGGCTCCTAGAGAACAGGGGCCATGCCTTCATAATTTTTTATGCCTCATAGGCAAATGCCCATTGTATAATAAGTGCTCAATAAATGCTTGTTGAATACAAGATTAAAAACCAGAACTTTAAGAACCAGTAAGGTTTTCCTAATTAAAAAACAACAGCTGTATTTTCATAGAGCGCTAAGAAAATGAGGAAAAAGAAAAATGCTACAACACTCAAAATCCCACTATTCCAATTCATAACCACTCTTAACTATAAATATCATTGCAGATGAACATACACAACCACTGATTCATTCATATCACAACGTCACTTAAACAAGTAACCTGCGATGGCTTCCTATTGCTAAATTAATTACAGTCCAAATTCTTCAGTCAGATATTTAAGACCTCAGCAACCTAAATGCAACCTTCCTTTCCTGTCTTAAAACTCCTTTCATTTCCCTGTATCAAGCTTATGATGAATTTCAACCAAACCCCTTGTCATTTCCTGAATCATCCTTGGATGTCTGTACCTCAGTAATTTTGTCCAAATGCTTTCTACCATCAGGAGTGTTCATTCCACCATATCCATTAATCACGATTCCTACCAGCCCTTCAAGAGCCAGCTCATGTTCCCTTATCCCTCCTACAAATAGGCAGCTCCTTTTCCTCTGAAACTCTGTAGTGCTCATATATGATAAGCTGGCCTGTGGTGTCACTCTATGAATAAACCTCAACTGCCAAATGAGGTCCCAAGCACCTTAAAGGCAGAGACTGTCTAATTCATATGAGTCGCCTCTTTTTTTTTTTACATCAGCTGTCACTCAACAAACATTTGTGAAACAAAGGAAGAGACTGAGTGTAGTTAAACAGGGAGTGCTGAATTTTGGAGTCTCAAAGCAATGACTTCAGCTGACCCTTGAAGAAAGTATATGCCTTGGATTAGTGGAGTGGGGATTGTGCGAAAGACATTCAAGAAAGAAAAAAATAATGGAGACACTTTGGGCATTTCAACAAGAAAGCCCATCATTGTGCAGGGCTGTTCCATATATTTCAGGATTGTGTGTCCCAGCTCATTATGTACCAGCCCCCTTACATTGTGACAACCAAAGACATCTCCCCACACTGCTTCCAGGTAAGAAGGCACTACAGAGGGGCCATGGGCATCTGGAGAGGGAATTCATGAGTCCTGACCACATCTGGCTGGAGCAAAAGAATTACTTCCACCAAAGAGGTGAGAAGAACGCCCAGCACAATCTATCTTTGGACCCCTCATGCTGCTACGGAGGAAGTAAGTCAACTGACAACCATTCCTTTTCATCTCTTTCCCAACAGCTTCATTCATGCACATACGGAGTGAGAAGCAGTGAAAAATAAGGTAAAGAACATGGTCTCTAGTCCTGAGTTTGATCAAATCCTAGCTTTTACACTTAGTAGCCATGTTGGCAAGGGAAGAAATGTTCAACCCTCCTGTGCCTCTGTCTCTTCATCCATAAAGTGAAAATAATGAAAGTACTCACCACTTGAAGTTGTATGGTAGTCCCAGCAAATAGGAAGCACAAAATGTATTATTTATTATTACATCTTGGGAAAATCTGCTAGCTGGACAAGAGGAATATCACCACTAGATACTCTTTTCATGACCTGTAAAACTTCATCTATCGTAGGGAACATTTACTGAGTAAATACTGGACATTGGACACTATACCAGATGGCATACCTCCACAAGGCAGTAACTACTACTATTCCTATTTTACAGATAAGAAAACTGATACGCTGAAAGGTTAAGGAAGTTAAGATGGAAGCCAGGATTTAAATCCTTTTGTTTACCCCACTCTGCCTCATTGATTTAATAAGTATTTAATGAGCATCTGCTACTTGTCTGGCATGTTTCCAGGTGTTGAAGACATAACAATGATCAAAATAGACCAAAACCATGCCTTCATAGAGCTTATATTCAGATATGGGACAGGGGAGGAGCAGATAAATCACATATGTGTTTATCAGCCCTTTTAAGTTAAAGACCTGGCTTTTACTTAGACTGAGATCAAAAGCCATTGGTGGGATCTGAGCAGTAAGGGCATGATCTGACTTATGCTTTAACAGGTTACTTTGGTGGCTACGCAGACAGTAGAATGAAGGTGTCGTCACTTGAAGATCCCTTAAGAGTGGTCAAAGTTATTACTAGCAGGAAAAAAAGGAGCAATGCCTTCTTCAGTTCCACCAGGTGTGATCACAATGGATTATTTTCTTATTTTTCAGAGCAAAGTGCTTGGGAAGCCTCCTTCCACCCTATCTATGATGTCTTGTTGAATACATCAGTTGTAGGGAACCCTCATTCAATTATACTGCCACTAGGAGCCTTTCCAAAACAGGCTGTCAGGGTGCATCCACAGCAGCTGGCTAGAAATCCCTGCATTCTCACTCATCACTCCTCAGTGTTACCTTCATTTTAGAACATGAACTTGAGTACAGAACTGGTTGTCCCTTCTTAGTACAAAGTTGGCCTGCTATGATTGGGACATTTAGAACACGGTTGAGTGATAGAAGTACAAAGTCCAAAGAGAGCTAGGCTCAAGCTTAGCCAGACATTCCACAAAATGCATACTGAGTACCCACTCTGAGCAAGCCACTGAAAGACTTTAAAATGAATCAGACTCAGTCCTGACCTAAGTGGGCATATGGTTCATACAGTAAAAGGATACAGCTTAAATGCAAGTTGCTATACAGCAGTAAGTATACACTATGGATTGCAGGCTATACACTAACTATAGCTAACATAAGGAGGGAGACAGTCCATCCAGCCAAGAGGATCTGGGGGTAGCATCTGACTTGGGCCTTAAGGGGAAGCTGGAGCTGGGTACACACAGATGGGCAGGCTTGCCAGGCAGATGGAGCAAAAGAAGAGAATGGAAAATGGAGGACTTAGGGTGGGAACCATGGTTGGGAGAATTTGGGAGGAGCCAGGGACATCCATAAAAATCCCCCAGCAACTTATTTTAAAATGCATATTCTCGGCTCACTCCCCAGCAATTTTGAGTCAATAGTGGGTGGAAGAATCTATATTTTTATCAAGAGCCCTCAAGTAATTGTGAAGTTCCCCACTCAACTCCACACCCACTTTGAGAAACAATGGTAGAGATGAGTTAAAACCACCCCATGTAAATTCCCCTATTATTCTCCCTCAGATAATCCTGTTTATTTCCTCCAAGCACTAATTGCTACAGATACTATTTTTGCATCTATTTACTTATTTACAATTGATTTACTCCACAGAATATGAGCAATGACTTTTCACCTTGGAGCATAAGATTTCACCACAGAAAAAGAAAATTATTTTTCTAAGTAAAAACAAGGATTTTACAGAATGTGTTCTATTTATTAATGCTGTTTCAGCTACTGTGGTTTTTGTAAAGTACAATTGCTTCCACAAATGAGATACATTGTTAGGCAGGTAAATGAAACCCTTTTACTTATAGGTATCACCCCAAAGTTCGTATGCTGAAGCCCTAATCCCCAGTATGATGGTGTTTGAAAGTGAGGCCTTTGGGAGGTGATTAGGTCATGGGGGTGGAGACTGCATGAAAGGGATTCCTACCCTTATAAGAAGAGACACTAGAGAGATGATTGCTCTCTCCCCGCCATGTGAGGACAAAGCAAACCAGGAAGTGGGCTCTCAAAGAACTCAACGGTCTGGTACTTATTCTGGACTTCCCAGTCTCCAGAACTATGAGAAATAAATTCCTGTTGTTTCAGCCACCCAGCCTATGGTATTCTGTTGTAACAGGGCAAACTAAGACCGTCAACAAGCTATACCATGGATCAAAATGGAAAACTATATGATTTGATCATTGAAGGCTGTATGTGGATGGGAAGAAAATCTTTCAAATTTACAAGACTTCTTTTTCTAACAAGTTCCAAATTATTTCACCTGTGTGTAAGTAATTAATCAGCACTCCTTGTGGACAATAAGTCCTATCAGCTCTGCCCTAAAAATAAATTCCTGAATCTGGATATCTGCCACAACCACCACGACTGCCCCATTACCGGGGCCACCGCAAGCCACCACAGAGCTTTTTGAGCAAACGAAAAAAAGGACCCCTCCCCAGCTCAGCCAGGCACCTCCACCAGGGCACTAAGCGCAGCCCCGCCACGCCCTCCAGGAGGCCAGGCCACCCTCGTCGCCCCTGGCCCACAGCCTCGGGCTCCCTTCCGGTCCCTGGTTTCAGTTCTCACCTCCTGTCCCCTCACCCCCTTCCCCGGCAGTCTGTTCTCCACACAGCTTTGAGTGGATCTTTTTCAAAGTTGTATAAAATGCCACCGTAGGGCGCCTGGGTGGCTCAGTTGGTTAAGCGACTGCTTTCGGCTCAGGTCATGATCCTGGAGTCCCAGGATGGAGTCCCGCATCGGGCTCCCTGCTCGGCAGGGAGTCTGCTTCTCCCTCTGACCCTCCCCCCTCTCATGCTCTCTCTCTCTCAAATAAATAAATAAAATCTTTAAAAAAAAAAAAATGCCACCGCAACTAGAACAGGATCCAGCCTTCTCCCACCGTGGCCCAGAGACCCCTCTCTCCCTCTCCGGCCGTGCCTCCCGCGGGTCTCCCGCCGCCGCCCGCCATCTTGCTGTCCACACAGCACTCGGCGTTCTTTCCCACCCCAGGGCCGTTCGGTTACCCTTGCTGTTCCCGGGTGGGAAGTATTCCCCTGCTCCTTCCCGCCCAGCAGTTCCGCAACCTCCTTCCCGCCATTCATGGCTCCATTTGTTTACCTCGGCCTCCGAGGAAACTTCTGGAACCACTGTGCTCACTGTGGACCCTGAGGTGGGTAGGCGGGAGTCTGTGGGATGGGCTGGGGTCCCGCGAGGCATCCCCAGCAGCCATACATAGGCTGCAGTTGGGACAGGAGGGAGGACGAGCGCTGCCTGAGGACGGAGGCGCGCTCTGGGCGGGGCTCTTCCTGCAGAGTCCCAAGCAGCAGCCGAGAAAGTATAAAGTTGGTTTGTGTGCTGCTTCTCGGCTGTTGAATCTTACGTTGGACCTCCAGTTGGGCAGGTGGCCCTGATGGGGCGAGGGAGCAGGGAGAGGCACTACAGGAGCGGCCCCGACAACGACAACGAGGGAGGCTAGGAGGCAGCCGCAAGGCTAACCCGAAGGTCTCGCGTCTCCCCACTGTGCGTGCTCGCGAAGGGAACCAGGTCTCCGCTACTGCGGAAGGAGCTGGTAACCACACAGGGCTAGGCTAGTTCCAGAGCTGGAGAAGCAAGGGCTTTCTCTCTTGGCTGGTGGAAATGCACTGAACTGGAAAGCAGGACACCTGGCCAGCAGCGGCAGCCTTATCTCTCTGGGATCCTGGCAAATACCTTAAGTCTCTTCATCTCTTTGTGCCTGTTTCCTCTCGGAAGAATGAGATGCTTGAACGAATCACGGTTTCTCAAAGTTTGCTGTAGGCACCACTCGCTGTACGTGCTCAAACCCAGGGCTGCTGACACTGAATCTTGGGGCAGGGCAGGAATTGGCCTTTGACAGGGCACCCTGGGTGATTCCAATGATCTCTAAGTTCACTTCTCTAATGTTCTGTGAATTTTAAACCTTAAACCTATACAAATATTGGGGGTGGGGGGAGAGTCGCGGCATAATCGAATTTATTTAATATCATTCAAATTGTCATGTTACCAAATCACAAATCAGTCACGATGTTGCACTCACTTAGGAACATTACATAACCACAGCTATGACAAATGATTAACTAAATGATCAGATTTTTCACTTCCTCACCAAAGCATGGGGAAATTTATCTTAGCTTTAGCAGCCTTAAACCTCTCTGAGTGAAATACATTAAAAATAACTGCAAATTATTGATGACTAATGCCCTTCAATTTGGCCCCAAGCTGAGAAATTCTGTGTAAGAATAAAGTGGTTTATAATCCCACACGTCCGTTCTATTATAAACTGCAGGTGGCAAATCAAGTGGCTATGAACTACGCTGTGTATGTGTGTGTGTGTGTGTGCGTGCGTGCGTGTGTGAAAAATCAATACTCAAGGAGGGTATTTCTTCACTGCCTTAATGGGAATTTAACAGCCCGGACAAAAGGCAGATAGATGCTAGCACTGAGGCCCCAGGAATCTGGGTGGTACCTCACAAAGGCCTGAGGCTAGAGTGGTCGTCACCCACCTCTAATGCACACCAGCCAAGGCCAGCTGAGCCTGCCCTTTGCAGAAAAGCAATCTAAAGCAAGCACCGAAGAAAGCTGGAAGGAAAATAATTGCAACTCACACCGATGACCTATTTTCTGAATCCGGCTTATCCGAGATTGGATTCTCACTCCTCCAAAAAGCAGCAGAACACTTCATGCCCAGAAAATGGTGTCTTTGAGGAGTGCATGGACCAGAATGTATGACAGATACATTGTCACCAGAGGTCTTTTTTCCGACCCAGGTTCCAAGTGGTGATAGGTTCAGACAGCTATTGTGGGAGGGGCTGATAAATCTACCAAATCCTTGGAGGCTTCGCTTCCCTGCTAGCCAAGATCAACATGATGCTAATTGGTTGTGAACCTGATCTGCTTAGTGTTTCCTACCAGCAGAAGCAGCAGAATCAAAACCATCTTCCCAGGCCCCATGTGCACATCATGTAATGTCTCCAACTTTATATTCCCCCCACTTGAGGTTGCATTGCCCGTTCATTCCAGACATGGCACAAACTAATCATCTTTTTCTAGGTCAAGGGCTAAGCAAAGCCCGTAGGCGGGTTCACTTTTGTGAGCAGCAGACACATCTGTGAGTTTCTGATTTGGATTCCCAAGGAAGGAAAAGTGACTTTCCACAGCATTCAGCAGCATGCCCTGGGCTGTGTGCAGAACAGCAGGCTAACAGGACAGAGGCGGAGCTAGGAACAGGAAGGCAGGGCCTGCCTGCCCGCAGACAGCTTCTTTTCTGGCCAGCCAAGGTGGCATGGAGGCCCTGTGAAATAAGCTGAAGACTGCAAAGCCGCAGACAACAAGAGTCGAATAACTTTGGATTATCTGCATCCATAACTTCTGAGGAAGAGTCCATTCAACCCAGGACCTAGACTCAACTGGGACTACTTCCTGGAGTAGATAAACTTAGGTATGGTTTTGAAGGAAGAAGTACAAAGGACTAGCGTTGGCAGGCAGGAACTGCACTCGGAGAATGCAGTTATCAGAGCCTGGTTGAGAGAATGAAGATCTATCTCTGCTGGTCAGTGCAACCTTTTGTGTTTCTATTAAGTGTCATTAAGAATCTTAAGAATAAATCTCAGGAAACAAACCTGAGGGTTGCTGGAGTGGTGGTGGGTGGGAGGGATGGGGTGGCTGTGTGATAGACCTTGGGGAGGGTATGTGCTATGGTGAGCACTGTGATTCAACAGTCTTACACAATTCACAGTGCTCACCATAGCACATACCCTCCCCAATGTCTGAAACAAATAATACATCATATGTTAAAAAAAAAAAAAAGAGCGGTGCCTGGGTGGCTCAGTCGTTAATAGTCTGCCTTCGGCTCAGGTCATGATCCCAGGGTCCTGGGATGGAGCCCCACATCGGGCTCCCTGCTACACAGGAAGCCTGCTTCTCCTTCTCCCACTCCCCCTGCTTGTGTTCCCTCTCTCACTGTGTCTCTCTCTGTCAAATAAATAAATAAAATCTTTAAAAAAAAAAAAGGGAGGAAGGGAAAAATGAAGGCGGGGAATCAGATGGGGAGACGAACCATGAGAGACTATGGGCTCTGAGAAACAAACTGAGGGTTCTAGAGGGGAGGGGGGTGGGGGGATGGGTTAGCCTGGTGATGGGTATTAAAGAGGGCACGTACTGCATGGAGCACTGGGTGTTATATGCAAACAATGAATCATGGAACACTACATCAAAAACAAATGATGTAATTATGGTCATTAACATAACATAATTAAAAAATAAAAATAAATAAAAAAAAGAATAAGGATACTATGTTCTGTGTTCTTGTATCCCTCACAGTGCACATAATAAATGCTCACATTTTGGCTTATACAATTATAGCATCATATAGTTGGACCGAACTTATTGGTCATCCCATTTGTGTGCCAGATGAATAAATGAATGAACAGAATACAAAAAAGACCTTGTTCCAGGAGAAGGATCATAGGCACAATCAAGAGATCTTCATCTCTTGAATTGATGGGGGAACTTTCAGGCAGCCTGGAGGGTGAAAATTTGATGCCAGCAGTTTTTCTCAGGAAAGAGCAGAACAAGAAGGCCAGCAGGACATAGTTTCAAAGGTCATTGACTGCTCAGGAGAACTAACTAAACCATCTTTACCAGGGATTTTTCCCTGGCCCTTCCAGGAATTTATCCTGCCTTCCTTCCCCACCTCCCCACCTCCTACCCCAACCCTCTAACAATACTTATTAGTTCAAAGTGAACCATCTGAAGGAAGGGACATGCCCCTGCAAATGGCTAAGAGCTTGATCTGCTCCAGGTAAGTGTTTCTAAGAAATGAGTTATAATGCATTCCCAGTGTGAGGGCAGTAATAGCAGCCTGACAGCCATTTGCATAATTTCTCTTCTGTAACAGGCCTCAAAAGTAACAATAGGCAAACCAGATCGAATCTATTAATTTTAAATTTGCTTGAGCTGCTCTTTTTAACGGAGGTAAATACTAAAGCACCATGAAGATTTTAAATCCACGAATTACCCACAGTAACATTTGTTCTCTCCAAGGAGACATTTTGCAAAATGGATACTTAGTTTGTGTTACTATAGAATCACCAACTGATTCTAGAATGTCCCATTGCTCTGGAATAAGGTTGGAAGGTAGCTTGTTTAGAAAGTTCATCTAAGAGTGGCAGAAAAAAAAATGGTATCAAAAATAATAATATATAGTAATGGTATCAAGATAATAATAACGGTATCAATAATAATATCATATCAAAAATTAGGTATACACACGTCAAGTCAGCAATAACTCAAGAACCTCAGAGAAAAAGAATGCCATAGGTAACTTTTGCAGTTGCTGACATCACTACACGGTCAGCGATACACGGACGGGGACCATGCCTATCAGGTCACATACCCCCAGGCCTAATATGAGGCCTGGCATGTGACTATATAATGGAGAAAGAAATGACTGACTGGATGAAGGGTGGAAGAATGAATGTGATTTATTTACATAACAAAGGCAATCATATACTTTAAAGATGTATACGTAAGATTTAGTTTTCCAAAACCCTAGAAATAGCAAGAATGTCATCATGTCCATTTATATGTGCCCATGGGTGCACACACTGCAAGCAAAAACATCTTCAGAAGGTAAGTATGTCAAAAAGAGACTTTAGTTTTTAAAGCCTTTACACAGCAGAAATATTTCAAAACTAGCAAAGCATATTAAAACATTTGAAAATGAATTACTGCAGATTAACCTTTTAGTCTCCTTCATCTATTTATGGAGCACCAGGCACTACACTTGGTGGTTAAAGAATTGCAAAGCAAGGGGGGAAAAAAGCTAGCTTTTGGGTTTCTTCCCCTGGATAATTTTTCCAAAGAACATTCTATTAAGTTTTACTCGAAACAGATGCATTTTGGGCAGGACCAAATAATCCATTTTCTGCCCTATTTTAATATCCGTATTTTCATTTCATGGGTTTTATCCCTCAATTCCAAATGACATTCTAAGTCAAATGAGAACTTAACCAAAGTCATCAGCTGGTACTTTTTTAAAAAGTAGATCTCGGTGGTAAAAGGAGATAGGATCTCTAGATATTAAGTCTGTTCTGATTGGAGCAGCCACTGAAGAATGGCAAATAATGTGTTCAACTTGAGATTTTAAAAATTTGGGGGCTTGGAGTTCACCTGTTTTGTAACACACACACGCA